TCGAGCCATTGACCACTGCTCTCTGGGTGCAGCCGTCCAGCCAGCGTCTTATCCACTGAACAGTCCACCCATTGAACTCGTATCTCTTCAACTTAGAAAGGAGGCTGCTGTGGGGGACAGTGTCAAAGGCCTTAGCAAAGTCACGAGAGATGACGTCCACAGCTCTTCCCTTGTCCACCAGTGCAGTTGTTTTATTATAGAAAGCCACCACATGGGTCAGGCAGGACTTGCCCGTAGTAAAGCTGTGCTGACTCTCCTGAATTACCTCCCTGTCTTCCATGTGCCTGTGCATTTCTTCTAGGAGGATCTGCTCCATGATCTTCCCAGGCACAGAGGTGAGGCTGATAGGGTGGTAGTTGCCAGGGTCTTCCTTTCTGCCCTTTTTAAAAATAGGGGTGATGTTTCCTTTCTTCCAGTCACTAGGGACTTCACCTGACTGCCAGGACTTTGGACACCAGGAGATACAGCCGTGACTGGTGTTGAGAGTGGCCCTGTTGGGAATGTGTTCCTCCTGGCTGCGCACATCTGCAGTTTTCTCATGGGCTTCCTTGTTACTTCTAGTTTCTATAATGACTTCTCTACCTGTCTTCAGGATGTGTCCTTATTTTTACATAGCCTTTTTAAGGCATCTTTACCATTCTTTAAATAGCTTTGTTCTGGAGGCTCCCTTGAACAACTGGATCCACCAGAGCTGGTGTAACTAGCTCTGAGAATTTGAATTTTTCATTTTCTTCCTGAGGCATCAGGGACCATCTCCTTCTCCAGCAAAGCAAACCTTGTTGGACTGCAGTGGTGCTGCTGTGCTTTGGGACCTTATGTAGCACATGTTGCTTAGCTGCAAGTTTCAAGTTCCCTCTGCCCTTGTGGGGTTGATGAAGAAGCTGAACCATTGTACCCAGGCTATACAGTAGCATGTGAATGACATGGAGCTTCATGGTGCACATCACAGTATTGCAAAGTTCTGTCTGTGAAGAAGCAGCGTAGAGACTTTAGCTGCCCCATAGGGCAGCAGGCAGAGAGGTCTATCACACTTCAGTTCTGGGTGCACTGTGGCCCCATGGAGCTGGTCACAATCAAGTCATCATCCTGATTTGTGTCAGAAATAGTGTGGCCAGCAGGATTAGGGAGGTGATTTATGCAGTGGGGAGGCTGCCCCTTGAATCCTGGGGTCAGTTTTGGGTCCCTCACTCCAAGGAGGACCTTGAGGGGCTGGAGCATGGCCAGAGCAGGGCAACAAAGTTGGGGAAGGGTCTAGAGCACAGGTCTTGTGAGGAGGAGCTGAGGGGCCTGGGGTTGCTTAGCCTGGAGAAAAGGAGGCTCAGGGGAGACCTTCTGGCTCTCCACAGCTCCCTGACAGGAGGCTGGAGCCAGGTGGGGAGTCAGTCTTTTCTCCCAAGGAACAAGTGATAGGACAAGAGGAGATGGCCTCAAGTTGCACTCGGGGAGGTTTAGGTTATTAGGATATTGGGAGAAACTTCCTCACCAAAAGGGTTATCAGGCCCTGGAACAGGCTGCCCAGGGATGTGGTGTAGATGAGGCACTGAGGGACATCATTTAGTGGTGACCTGGCAGTGTTAGGTTAGTAGTTGAATTCGATGATCTTAAAGGTCTTTTCCAATCAAAATGATTCTATGAGAGAAGGAACCTGTTTCTTGAAGTGATGGTCCTGGTCCACCCGGGAATCCCCAGTGCAGACGAAGCAACTTCCTTCAAGCCCTGCCCGTACTAGAGCAGCCTGGGTGGTGGATCTGGTGGGGAGTAGCCCTCTTGTAGGGAGCTGGTGTTGGGACTCCAGCTGTACTTGGTTGTCCCTAGGTGTTCCTGCAAAAGGGTTGGGTGGGGACATGACAGGGCACATGTACTGTGTGCTGCTGGGGCCCCAGAAGAATGACTGGTAGAGGGAACTGCAGTCCAGCAGCTATTACTCAGAGCCAAAAGCTGGCTTGAGCCGTGTCCCATCTGCTCTGTAGACCAGAGAGCTGGAGGAAGTGTTGGTAGGATGACTGGGGGGGGGAGCTTCAGCAGATTTGGGAGGAAAGGGGAGCAGTTGAGAGCCTGGAGCCGTCTTCCAGAGGAAACACTAGCTGCTCTCCACCATCTTTCCCTGTAACAAGAAGGGACCGGTGATGGATGAGTGAACATGGTGTGTCTGTCCCTCTCCCTGAATCCCATACC